CATGTTGGGGTGACCAGAAGAAAGAAGTCAGATCCCAGTTACGAATATCATTCCTTTGTCGCCGGCATTGTTACGTTTGCGACATACCGTAAGTGCCATTCCACTTCTTCCAGCATTCAGATTGAAGTAGGTTCCCGGTCGACGTTTGGGAGGGCAGAAGCCTCCAAAAGTCGGAGTGTCCAGGAACTCGGATGCTGGAACTGCTATCAGCGTGTGGGACGAGCGGCTCAGGGCTTTAGTTGTTGAGGCTGAACGGATTCAAGCCTCCGGGCTTGAGTGGTTAGGCCTGTCAGGTGTGGCGGTGTCAGGGGCACGTGAGGAGACAGGCTGGATTGGTTGGTCCAGAATCATTTTCTTTCGTCTGGAGGCTAGCGGCAGTCGCAATCTCTTGGCTTTCAGAGTCTTCATGCCGAGATCCGAAGCTTTCCTAAACCCCAAATCGGGAATCCAGACGCATAACATGAAACGAAGCCAGGGCTTCGAAAAAGCCGTCGAGCTCTTGGGCAACGAGCTGGATGAGAAGCCGGAAGACCTGGACTTGCTCGGAGTGAGAGAAACGGTTGAGGCTCTCAGGCTCGTTTCTCGTACCATTGCGCTCGTTGAATCGGTTTAGGAGTGGAGCTGATCGGATATTGATTTGAGCTGCTCTGTTGGGTTCAGGGCGGCGTCGTCGGCTTACAGGCACTGTCACTCACCCACTTGGTGGCTGAAGCCAGGAGGAAGGGAGCTGTAAGATGCGGAGAGGGTCAAGGAGCTGTGAGTCGGGTTGCGGTTGTGGGCAAGGCCGCCCTCCCATCCCTGCTCAGAGAAAGGCCTGCAGTCTGTGTCCGAAACAGCGACCCCAGACTGGAGGAATGGCGCACCAGGGGAGGTCGCGCGAAAAAGCTTCAGGCTTTAGGCCCGCAAGGATTCCGCAGCCTCGGAGCCGATAAGATTTTCCAAACTCTGAGCTCGGCCCCGGGATTTCCTTTCCGCCGAGGTTTTACATCAAGTTTGCTCAGTTTGAGCAGCGGCAGAGGGAGATGGAGCGGGCACAGGCGCCACTTAAGGGACATAGGATGCAGGCACCAACGATCTGTCATACTTGATGGCATGGAAATCTTGCTGTCTCTGTTTCAACAACGGCTTCGGACATTGTTATGTGACAAGGTTGTCTAGCATAAGTCGTGTTCTTGTGCAACTGTGGGACTCTTGCGCCCAGTAACCTCACATGTTCGCGTCTTCGCATGCCGATCCTTCAGACTTGCGAGGTTCGAAATCATTCGACCCCGATATACAGTTGAAGCCTTTTTGGGCTAGAACTTGCAGGTTTGGGCTGCGGGATGGACGCCTCCCCAACTGGAACTGCGAAGGCTTCCCGAAGCGCGAGTCGCGCAGCCCGAACCCGAAACCTTACGATCCTGAACGCCAAAACTGGTGGGTTGGGGCGCAGCTAAAACGGGTTCGGGTTTGGCTTAGAGTTTCGGGTTCCGGGTTCCTGGCTCTGGGCGTCTGGGCTTGGGGAATTTCGATTACGGTGGAGTTTGCGGCTTAAGGTTGGATTTGGGGACAAACAGACCCAACCGCAACCCTCACACCTTAAAGCTTGAATAGGTTGAGGCTTGAGTCCAGGTCTTCATGGCGAGGTCAGCGGCAAGGTGAAGTTGTTTCCCGGGCACCGGGTGCGGGGCACCGCTTAGGGGTTTACTGTTCCTGGGTCCGAACTTTACAGTTTAGTTTCATGCTTGTGATTGGGAAATGTGGCCTATGATCGGGAAAAGGGTGACGATCCATCAGATGGCGAAGCTGCCTGTCGGGTCATCCGTGATCGAGAGTCATGGAATGCCGACGCGAAAGTTTGTTGGGGAATTCGCAAGACAGCTCCAGAAGAAGCCTTGGCGCGCTGTTCCAGGGGTTTTCAAGCCAGACACGAGATGGATTTATTGATGAGGCCTGGCGTAAGGTGTAGGGCTCTACGTGCTCTACGTGTTTTGCGTCTCAGGCTTGAGTTTGCTGGCGAATATCCGATGTCCGGCAGTCACCGAAAAGGCGCATGTCCAGAACCTTAGGTTTCTGATGCGAGCTTTTGTTCAATGCTGGTCCTCTAGAGTGCTACCCTGTCAGGATTGAGTCCGGATTCAGGTGCACGGGCCTGAAATTCTACCGGTAGCATCCCAGAACTCCCTCCGGACAGTCTTGGCCTCCAAACCTTGTGACCCATGAGCCTGAACTCCTCGACTTGTAGGCCATCTACAAGCTCGCCTTGGATGTGCTGCCGAAAGGCGCTGTGATCAGATGCCTGACCAACCTGGGTCAGAGGTACTGCATGAGAATAAACTCGGAAACTAGCGGTAGTGTTCCTTCAGGTGGCACTTGGCCTCGTGCAACAGCTTTCGGGCATTGGGCCTAAGATGTAGATGTAGGGACCAGGACCAGAGCTAGCTCCCGGATCTCCCAAATCCAGAAGCGTACGGTTTCCACCCCAAATCCGAAGCACTCGACGGCAGAAGCCTTCAGCTCTATCCTCTTGGCGGTAAATCATAAATAGCTACGCCCTGTGTTATGGCTAATATGGGCATGCCCAAGATTTGAGTATCGTTTCCCATTGCTGAGATCCTCGGGCATGACTGGAGCCGTGTTCCAAGAACTGTATAGTTGCATCTTGTTTAACAGCACTCTGCTGGGGAGGTAATGTTCACCAGGCCAGTCGAATCAGTCTTTTCGGCCGTGCTTTCTTGCAGACTGAGATTTCCAGGTGCCAGCGATGATCTGTACCGTGCATACGTTTCTTTCGAGAAGCAGCATGGCGATCGGGACGCGATTGAGGAGGTGCAATTACCTGGCATGCAGCATGCAGGTCTTGATAGTGTCGGATTTGAAAACTACTGCAAGTTCTTGTCGTAGTTCCGAAGCAAAGCTCGGTAGGAAGGGAAGGCTTCTGGAGGCCTGAGGTGTTCATCGGTTCAGGCTTCCAGGCTTTGGTTTTAAAGTCTGGGGTCAGATGTTCAGAGTTCAACTGCCCCTTGTGGTTCCCAAACCCAAGGCAACAAAGGTGCATCAGCTGTTGGCAAGCTCTGGTGACATGCGGTTCGTTTCCGGGGATACAGCCATGAACAGTCACAGGCAGCAGCCAGAGCATGAGTAACTGAGCTTGAAGGCACACCATCTCTGGGGAGCACCGGGCCAGCATCAATCATGATATCATGGACTGCAAGATCGGGATCGAAGACTACTTGCGGCTAGTATTCGCAGATGTGGGCAGTTTAGGCCATGGTCGCTGCAAAGTATCACATTTGCGGGAGTCCAGAATTCCTGCTTTTGACTCTCTGTGTGTATCGCGGCCCTGAGCCCTCCAACCACCCGAGCTCTGTGCGCTTCACCTTCGCTGTGCCCTTGTGAAAGATCCGGATGCTTCCCAAGGGTGCCTGTATACTTTGCGACCTAACGCTTGGGCTGAAATCGAGACTGCACTTGTGTGGACGCAGTGCCTAGCGGGTTGTCGGACCCGGGCTTGGAAACGGACTTGGGGACTTGCCAACCGGAAGCCGGAAGCTAGAACAAAGGAAGGAGGTCATCAATGTACCGCCGCAAGAACTGCAAGTAATTACTTGCAGTTCTTGCGGCGGTACGTTGATTTCCTCCTTCTTCTGTGGAGCGGCTCCGCCCTGGAATTATCTGCCATTGCAGACAGCTGGCATCCTTCATTGAAGTTTGACTTGTCAGGTGATGGAAATGTTCATTTTCTTGACGTGGCCTTGCACATTGAACACAACAGGTGAGTTTCTTGGGCTATGTATGAGAAACCTCTGAACTTGCACTTGTGTGTACCTGCCAACAGTTGTCATCCTGACAGCGCCTTTCACAGCCTTCAAACTGGAGGATGGTGGAGATGTTTTCGCAGGAATTCCTCCACCGTTGATGTAAAGCGAAGCGTAGCTGCTTTCAAGTTGCGCCTGCGGGATCGTGGGTTCAGTATCGTGGCTTTCGAGTGCATCGTCAAGCGGTATCAAGACAGGATTGCAGCGAAACAGCGTGACAGAAACATTGTCCGTCAAGTGTTCTTGAAGGTTCCTTTTAACAAGGATATCAATGTGCGCTGGTTGCATCGGCAAATTCACAAGCATTGTGCCCTCGTGCGTCAAGCAGTTCTGAACGTACGCGTTGGGCAGTGCTGGTCCACGGGCATGAATCTTTTCAGGCGTCGCTACAAAGATGTCTGGTTGTACAGGGTAGGTTGAGGGTGGGTTTCGACATTTTTTTGCTTCTGTCATATGCGGAAGTGGGACTGCATCTAGTGCTTCCCATTTCAAGCTTTGTCTGCAGCCATTCTGGCAAGCAGTTTCCCTGAAGAGTTCTCATGAACGAAAGCTAGGAACATGGCTGCTTAGCGGAAAAGGCTGCATCGGTTCACGGCTTGAGCATCTTTATTCTTTAGTTGTTGGGGACTTGTCAATCGGGAGCCGGAAGCTAGAAACCGACCGCAAATGGCTAAAGCATGCTAAAGCAAATACACCATTGCTGCGCCTCAGGTTGTCATCAACAAACGACGCTTCATCTACGAGGACTACCTCTTTGCACGACTCTGCCCTGATGCCATGTCGAGTTTCTCCGATTAGTGGTGGTCTAAGAAACTCCTGTGACAAAGCCCGAATGCAGCATTCAGTTTTTCTTGTAGGGCCTTATGCTGGTTGGCCTCCAATACCATGTCAAGTCAAGAGATTTGAAGAGGCAACACATGCAGCCAAACAAGGCTCAAGGTTCACTCACGCCCCAGGTTTTCGAACGCGACTGTAAGTTACTAGTGTGTCCATGTTTCTGCTGCTGGGGCGTTGGCTGTGCATCTGCGGAGCTGTGACCCTGCGTGGCTCCGACCGAAAAGGGACTACAACACTGCCACTGCTGGCGAGAGCCAAATCGGCGTTTCTCCCAGCATTTGCCAGAATGCCACAGGTTTGGCCAGGAGCACCTACGTGTACGACAGCAGGCAGCTCTCCATTCTGATCCCAGAGACGAGACGTTTGATGACGTTGCCGGTTCTGGCGCTGCAAGCACACGTGCAACTCCCGGAGCTGCGAATACAGATCATTTACGGCAATTCCAACAAGGATTACGTCCACACGCAGAAACCGCTTGTGGAACTGCAGCAGAAAGGTGCTGTCTCCCTCACACCCATGCCGGACAAAGCATTTCATGCCAGCCGGTTGTTCCCCGTTGCACACTCCCAGATGCTCATGCCGCCTGCTGCTGGCCACCCCGAAGGGTTTGCTGGCGCAGACGGACTCATGGATCTGCCATGGGGCCCACGAGCATTTGAAAGACTTCCTTCAGTATGATTACGTCGGGTCTCCGTGGTACATGTTCCTGGACATCCTCCGGGATCTTGAAGCGATGCTAAACATCACCAAATCCTTCCGGCCGAGCGGGCGGCCCGAGGAGCTTTGGTTCTGCAGCCATCTGCAATCCGACGCAATGCGCCTTTCCGCGAGGCGAAACACTTTGCCAGGGAGACCCACGAGGCACAGGAGAATCAGAAGTCGGGTTCTGTTTTGCCCGAGGCGTCCATAACCTGCCGAGTTGCTGTTGAGTGGACTCCTAAAGTCAGAGGCGGAAAACGGCCTCGACTCCACAACTTCGGATCGCCCTTCTGCAGTGCGGACGTTTCATCTCGGGTAGGTGAGAAAAGATGTGGGCTCTCGCCGTCTGCATTGAGAAAGTTGGGATTCTGTTTCAGGGGCTCAGCCAGCAAGCGGCAGTGCCGCTCTCCTCACCCGAAAGCCCTAAACATGAGCCAGAAGTCGCGGAAAGCCCTAGCTGATGAAGGCACCTAAACTTCTCCTACAGACTGGTTGAGTCCCTGAAATTCCCTGGAGCTTCGACTGGTCAAGTCTAGTGGCGTAATGGTCTTCCGAGTACTGGAACAGCCTTTCAAACGGCTGCGATAGGAATCTATCGAGAAGAATCCGCGGAACTACGACGTGTGGCCCGCTGCTAAGTCTGTGCAGCATGTGTGCTCGGTTCTGAAGATGATATCATCGTTAGGATTTCTGTTGAGCATGTGGAAGGGGGGCATTTTCTGGAATGCATGCAGTAAGAGGAGCTTCGTATCGGCAACGAGCATCCTGAGCTGTCAACTCGAAGCCACCCGGCGCCCGAGCCTCCGTTGGGGTTGACCCGGACTCACAGCTTCGAACGCTGCCAAAACAGCGTCAGATCACCCATGATCATGGTACTCGTAGCTGAGTCGGTAGCGCTTTTCACATGCGAGCAGTCTCAGCTTCCAGCCTGAGCCAGTCACGCTGAGTTTCCACCCGTCAGTGTTGAGCGCCTAGTGAGGCTTGGGCTAGAGGTGTAGATCTTACCGTAGGCCGTAGGTAGAAAATAGCCACGCCGCCAGATGTCGCTTCAATAAGAGGATTCAGCGGGGAAGTTGGTTAGCGCCAAAGTCGTAGAGGTTTTGATCGGCCGTGAGGCAGTGCGGGTCAACGCTTTGCCGAGCGGACTGGACCCCACTGGAAGCGTGTGTAGTGTTGAGGTCTGTATTGAATGTGGACTTAAACGTTTGGAGGCTAAAAAGCCGCTGCAGCCCAAGCTCAATAAGGAGGCCTCAACTTCGCCAGACACAAGCATGCTACACCCGAAGAGCCAGCATAGTAAAAAATCAAGTCCTACCTCGCAACAGAGCCCCCGAAACTCACTGAAAACAACCTTCGACTACCTTGAGTACTAAGTGTCCGCGACAGGTTTGACTACGTCCGCCTGGAAGAGTCCACCGGAGATGTGGCCCGAATCCGAGAGGTGGCTGGAACGCAACACACTCCAAAACAGGCAAATAACGGATAACACGCAGGCAACTCCAGCACCCACTGCCCATCACCACCCACATAGGTAAATATATAGAGGCCTACATACATTCATATACATATATACATACATGCATGCATGCATGCATGCATGCATACAGACAGGCAGGCAGGCAGGCAGGCAGGCATGCAGACAGACAGACAGACAGACATGTATATATGTCTGTAGAATATGTAGATGTATGTCTGTGCATGTATGTATGTATGTATGTATGTATGCATGCATGCATGCATGTATGTATGTATGCATGTACGTATGTATGTATGTCCCGGTGTGCATGTGAGTGTGCACGTACAAGTGCGTGTGCCGGTGTGCATGTGTGTTAGTGTGTGCATGCGCATGTAGGAAAAAGCGAGGCTAGGACGTAAGAATCCCTGACCAAAGCGGGCTATGAGGAGTGGGAGCAGGACTGGGCGCTGAGTTGTTATGCGGCCTAAATCCGTCCGCACGTGGATATCCGCGGCTGGTGTGCATTGTTGGAAGGTGCGGCTACCGTGCATCTCGGTCAAGCATTGGTGCTCCAGCTACCTGTCCCCACCCACGAAGTAGTTCATGTCGCCGCACCTCTGAAGATGGCTCAGTTTCCTCAGATGATCTTGTGCAGAAGATGTCACTAGAAATGCTGGCATATGACTGTGGAATACTCTAGACGCCAGCTTTGACTGATAGAGTTTGATGGAGCAGCATGATAGATACCCGGTGTTGATGGCAATGTCAACCCCACATCTCAAAGGAGGAGTTGAACATCGATGCATCTACATGAATTTTGCTTGGTCTAGCTCTATAGGTAGACAGCACACCCGGTCATTATGTCGGATGCTGTTGATTCGTCCTAGCCATGGCGCGTGCTCTTGGGCTGTGTTTGATCGGGCAGGTGCCGTCGGACCAGTCACAAACGAAGACATTGAAGGAAGCCTTATGATGTTTGTGTTGAGATTAAGCTGCCCTGCTGCACTCTTGCCCAGACATGGACCGCGACCTCCGAGGCAGGTTGTGTTGGCATAGTAGCTTCTTTGATCGTGCTCCTGTTGCTGTGAGCTACGGTTGTCACCAGGGCCCCCCTGGGCATCTCCAGCCGTTTGGCAGTTGGAGAGCTGGGGAGCCAGTGGAGGACCATGTTGTAAGCTCTTGCATCATTCGTCAGAAACAGGATGTCCGGCTGCGGTTCAAAGGCAGGAGCATGGCAGAGCCTGCCCAAGCACATTAGTAAGCCTAGTGGTAGAGGGGCGCTTGAGCCACTTGAGCCTCCATGTCGACCTCCAGGGATTGGTCAAAGCTCCCAGTCTCCAAGGCTGGAAATCGCCCAGAGTCCGAAAGGAAGTTAAGGGAAGTCTACTAGTTTTTGAGTCTTTGGCAGGGGACCCATCACTTCATCGAGGAGATGGGGTTCAAGCGTATGACGCCGGTGCAAGCAATAGCCATTCCTCTGGTGCTTAAGCAGCGGGATGTGGCTGTGGAGGTGAAAGCCGCAAGTGCCTGGCAGAAACCTTGTGTAGATTGCTTCACCTCAGCAGAATCTTGCATAATCTAGCATCGCAGTTGAGTTTGTGTCTGGGCAGGCCTGCACTGGTTCTGGGAAGACACTCGCCTATCTTATTCCAACATATGAAATTCTATGTCGCACCGTCGATGGTGATGGCGTCAGCCGAAAACCTGGCGACACACTCGCTGTCGGAACTCTGATCATCGCGCCCACCCGCGAGCTGGCAACGCAGATCCACGAGGTTTTTGGATCGTACCTTGCATCAGCCGCCAAGGCTGACGATGGCCTTTGCAGTCAACTTGGGAGACAGCTCTGCATTGGAGGGTCTGATGCCAAAGCAGCTGCAGCTGCATTGCGGAGAGCAGCCGTTTTGGAGGAGGCGGAGCCAAAGTTACATTTGATTTCAGCTACGCCGGGAAGACTGCGAGCACTTTTGTCCCTTTCTAACAGTCCCTTGAACCTCAAAGCATTGGAGTTTCTCGTATTTGATGAGGCAGACAGATTGCTTCAGTTGGGGTTCTCCGTGGACGTAGAGGCTGTTTTGTCCGCTGTGCCGAAACAACGAAGAACTGGTCTGTTCAGTGCAACGCTCACTACTGAGCTGCAGCGCATAATGAAGACAGGGATGCGCAACCCTGTGCATGTATGTGTTCGACTAAAGCGTGCCGGACACGAAAGCCTGCCTCAGATCAAGGCGTGCAAGAAAGGTCCAGAAGCCATTGCTGACGGAGAAGTGGAAGACACCGCTCCGGAAGAGGACAGGCAGGAAAGTCGGCCTTCCTCCGGCCACGAGCTGCCAACCAAACTGAGCAACTATTACTTGCAGATTCCCGCTACGGACAGGCTCGGTTTTTTACGGCATTTTCTGCGTGCGCCAGAAGTTCGTGGGGGCAAGACAATTGTTTTTTTCCTGACATGTGCAACGGTGGATTACTTTCATGTTCTCCTGCGCGACCTCGTCGATGGTAGGAGTGGGGCAAAGCGGGCCCGCTCAAAAAAGCAAACACCCAAGTTTCGAATAGAAAAGCTTCATGGACAGATGGAGCCAACAGCTCGAGCAAGAGCATACGACAAGTTTTGCAAGAGTCCAGCACATGATGGAGCGGTTTTGCTTGCCACGGATGTTGCAGCAAGGGGCATCGATGTTGATGCAGTCAACTGGATTGTACAGGTTGATCCACCCACAGATCCATCAGCGTTTGTTCATCGTATTGGGAGAACGGCTCGTGCCGGACAAAGCGGAAGAGCTGTCGTCCTGCTTCTTCCACACGAGGATGGATACTTACCGTTCCTGGAGAAGCGTGGAGTTAGATTCGAAGAGTTGCCTGAGGCGCTGCGAAAGCCTCCCAACGTCCAGGAGAGTTTCGCTGAAACGATGCTCAGATGCAAGCGCATCGTGGAGACAGACAGAGCTGTTATGCTCAAGTCCACCAAAGCCTTCCTTTCTTTCATCCGTGCATATCAGGAGCATCAGCTTCCATACCTGTTTCCTTTCAAGAGCCTGGACATAGGCAGCCTGGCAACTGGCTACTGCCTACTCAGACTACCCCGGATTAAAGAGATCTTGGGAAAGCACGTGAAGGGATTCCAACAGAGCGACGCAGGCGCCTTAGGACACAATTTTTTCAGCGTGGACGCTCCACATTGTATGCACATCGACTTCAGGTCAATCCCACAGAGGTGCCTTTCCGAAATGGGAAGCAGGAGAAGTTGCGGAAGGCCGATGTCCTGGCATGAAGGTGAAAGCATAGGGCTGGCGCTATGATGCTCCAGGACAAACTGGCAAGGCAGCAGGAAGAACATGAGCAGAACAAGGAGCTCCTCGGTTTGCTATCACTTGGTGTTCCTCTTTCGACGATGAACTGCTTGCTTTGCAGGAGGAGGTGAGAAAGGCGCAGCTTGCCAAGGCCAGACAAGCCATGAAGGCTGGCAGCTCAGAGCAACGACTGACAATGACGGTCTCCCGAAGCTTCTGCCAGTCGTCATCCAAGCAGCATTGAATGTAGGCAAAGACTCTATGCTCCTTGCACTCACAATCACTTTGTGACATGATCCAGAAGGTCGTGCTGCACCAAGGATGCAACCAAGGCTGAAAAAGAAAGAACCAGGACAATCACAGAATGGCAAAGCTTGTCAGCACTTCATTTCGCAACTTGCTTGGTGTGTCTTGCTCGCAACAGACCGAGTGAGGACGCAGAAGCGGCAAGCCAAGCGCAATGAGAAAGCAGAGCAGTGGAGAGTGCTCGCAGCCGAGGAGCTGACCTGTGACTGACAAAGTGACAAGTTTCGATTTTCCGTGCGCAGTGTTGCAGGAATGCCTGGCCAAGAAGCTGCGAAAGGGCAAGATCTCAGCCACGCAGTTCGAGACACGACCCAAGCTGTCGAGAAATGCAGGGCCATGACGAAGAATCCATGCTTTTTGGCCACGTTGCCGACGAAAAGTGACAAGGTCACGGGTAAAGAGGATCAGCGAATATGCCACGGCCTTGGTAAGCAGTGGGAAGGTGATCTTGACAGCTAGGTGAAACCTCGACGCAATTGTGGTGCGCCAGGTGTTTTTACGTTTGTTTACGGTGATAAGCATGCCTATCCTTGAAAAACCAGTGATAAGCATGATTATCCTTGAACAAGCCAGTGATAAGCACGATTGTCCCTTGAGAAAACCCGTGATAAGAATGAATGAATATTGTTGAAACACCGGTGATAAGACCAACACCAGTGATAAGCATGATTTTGTGAAAAAGCCAGTGATACGCACGATTTTCGCTTGAGAACCCGTGATCAGCATGAATATCCATGGAAAACCAGCATGACTAGCCTTGACAAAAGCCTGTGGTAAACATAACTATCCTCGAAAAACCAACAATGAGCGCGCGCATCCTTGAAAAACCAGTGACCAGCATGCATATCCTTGAAAAAGCCAATGGCAAGCATGATTATCCTTGAAAACACCAGTGATAAACATGATTATCCTTTGAAAAAGCAGTGATAATCATGTTTATACTTGAGAGAAATCGTTTAAGCATGCAGGCTTTCAGCCTCACCCATCACAGCCTTTATCTTCCGACAGCTGAGCCAACGGAGCTCTTGGATAGTCATTACTTGTGCGAGGCTGTGGCTAGTGAGGGCGACGATGTGGACGACGTTGAAAGCCAGCCGGCGGAGCAGGTTTTGCAGAGTTGGGACCTACGGCATGCTGACATGTGCCATTCGTGCTTACGCAGGAAAATGAAGTTGAGGACAAGGACCGAAGCAATGCTGGCAGTGACCATAGTGAAGTCGTCGCAATGCCAGGATGGGAAGGCAAGCGATGCCAGATATGCGATCCAGAGGAAGAAGAGGCAGAGAGCGAACAGAGCAGAAAATGTTTGAGTAAACGATTCTTCCAAACCGATGGAATCACTATCTTTCATCATGGACTTATGATGGTTGCTTGCTGCCGGCAGGAAGCGCGGTAGGTCCAAGAAGGGCTGAACTCGAGCTTCCGGTGCCCGGACCTTACCTGGCAAAGCTCACGTCCCACCCAGTTTTGCATGTGGCCGCGCATCTCTCTCCAGAGACATGGTCTGTGTGCCGTGCTGCCACGGCTCAGCCAGTGTTAGGGCCAATTATTTGGACCATGTCACATGCACCCGCGGTGGGTGGCCATCGGCCAAAGCAGTGCCAGAGATGCGACCCTTCTTGCCAAATTCGTGCCTCGTGATCAGAAAATGAAAACACCTTTTAGCGGCGTGTGTGACCTTCGTGGAACCATGGCGCTGCCGATTGCTCTTTCTTCGGTGAATCTGGCCACACACCTGAATATCTCCCTGACAACTCCACGGCTTTTCGTTTCGTTTCGCCAGGCAAGCGCAGCAAAGCTCGCCAACGTCCAGCTTTCAAGTGCGAGGCTCTGGTGGCTAGCTTACAGGCCGTTGCTAGCATACAGTTTCTTGCAAGCACAGTTGCAGGCACATTCTGCCGCAGAAGGACGCCTTCAATTCACCCGTCTGCGCTTCGCCGTTGCATTCCACGCAACTAGCCGCGCATGCGATGCTGTCCTGAAAAGTCAAAAGCCCGCTTTGCACTTCGCTCGTTTACGGATGTCTACGGATCGGTAAGGCAAAGCGTCCGCTCGTTGACATCTTTCCCATTCTCAGTTTCCGGATTGACTGGTAGTGTAGAGCTAACAATTTCGCAGTGCACCGTGTGGGCATGGTTTCGCCTGCCTTCTTCCATCTTCAAATATCTTCTACTCGCTGGGCTTAGTACGCTACAGAGCCGGTCCAGTGGGTAGAAGGCCTTTGAGTGTCTACAGTACTGGCTGGTGTTTAGGGCCTGCGGAGGTAGGTGGGATCGTGTGCAAAATTCAGAGCTGTAGCTTGCAGAACTTCAGAAAGGAGGAGCAGGTGAAAGCAACGCCGCCCATCTGCCCTGCCAGCAAAGGCCTTCGTGCAAAGCGCAGCCGGCCAGGCTCTGCCGCAATCGGAGTTCTTTCGAGTTACCAGATTGGCAGGGCACGAGCTAGGCGCCTGCGTCGGTCGGTTATGTCTATTTTAGGCACAGCTAGTAACAGTAAGTCACATTCAAGCAAGATCCCGTGCAGCTTGGAATGTAGTACAGTATTATAGTCAGTATAGTACTAAATA